TTTTATATCGGTGAGTTATTTTGATGGTATGGTCGAAGTCCGATATTTAATTTTATCGCTAATATCAGCTGATACTGATACCATGCCGATAATATCGTGCATCCTTATAAACAATTATTGAATAAACATCCACACCTGAGTAAATTTTGAAATAAACCTGGTTAAGATGGCTGCCACAGCTAACTGACCTGATAAAATACAAAAATTGACATAACTCAGTCAGTTTGACACATGTTGAGCTAAATTTTGGTGTGGTAGTAGCTGAGAGTCATTAAATTTTTCCTAAAATGTTGTTTTAACCATTGACGTTGACTCTTTTTGTGACGATGTTGGCTATAAGGACCAATGAGAACTCAGACCAAGACTCAGAATAAGTTTAAAGTGTTTGTTTACAAAATGAGAAATAATGCAATAAGCCAAGGAGGGGACTGGAACCCTGAGGAGCAAAGAGTCTTGTAGGCAAGGGTGATAATGTTGTTGCTGATTCTTCTTACAATGGAGGTCGGGGTCAGATGTGAGGATGGTTGACCGAAATGGTTCCAGTTGAAGGAGGTGCAGGTGTTTAGGTGATTGGTAGGAAGGCGTGGAGGCAGCTGATGAGGCACAGAGGAGGCCGAGGTCTGCAGAGGAGGATTCAGGAAACAGGAGGACATGAAGGGTAACTCACTGGAGGCACGGAGAGAAATACAAATCATTAATGTTTGGTTTTAATCACGAGTAAAGGGCTAGAACAAGACTACCAATGGCTCCATGCCGGCTGCATGTCTTCTGATGCTCCTCATGCTCATCAAGTCGATGATCCACAGATGTAGCTGTGGGTGCAGGAGCTGGCAGAGCAGAACGCCCACACTGTCTGTGTGTTGGCCAAAAACCTAAATGAAACGCTCAAAAAATAATAATTGGATGTTCATCTACAGCTGATTAGCTTTCGAAGATGGCCGCCGCAGCTAAACCTTAGCCAACACAAAAATAGTTACAATTTAGTCCCTTTCACAGCTGGGTGGTAGTAGCTGGAAGTCATCCTCAACACATCATGTGAGACCTGTGATGGCTTGACTCCGCCCCTTCTCATCCTTTGATCATCTCAGTGTAAAACTTGTGAAACGTGGCGGGCGATTAAAAAAAAAAACAATTCTAACCTGCAAGCTGTTTATTAGAATCTTATTT